CTCTCTCTCTCTCTCTCTCTCTCTCTCTCTCTCTCTCTCTCCACAGCCTGTGACCACTCATGGCTAATGGATACACACAGCCAGTAGACTTTCATGGTCAAATTCTTTGATTGAAGATAAGTCTCATTTATTGGTGTAGCAACACACGTCAGTGCCATTTCTTCTTATGGCTGAACAGTGTACCATTTTATGGGCACACCACATTTTGCTTACACTGTCATTAACCAATGGGCAGTTTCCACATTTTTGGCTTACTATAACTAATGCTCACTTGAACATTTGTGGAAGTGTTTGAGTAAACATTTTTCAGTTCTCTTGGCATATATGGCCAGGAATGGGATGTCTGGGACACTTAGTAACTCTATGTTGAACTTCCTGAGGTCTAGAGGGCAGCTTTCTCAAAGGTATGCAGCATTTTCATCTCCATCAACAACATGAGCTGTATCTTCTCTGTTCCCTTCCAATGTGCATGTGTGTTGACTGCAACTATCCTAGGGAACATGTCACGTCACCGTGGCTTCTGAAACACATTGTTTCCTACATGACAAATGATGTCAGACATTTTTTGATGATTAATGATCAAGAATATTTCAAAAGAAATTCAAACCTTCTGCTCATTCAAATTTGGGCTACTTATTCTTCTATTACTGAATCATGAGTTCTTTGTATGTTACAGATAGTAGACTTTATCAGGTTTATAAATATTTTATCATATCCGATAGGATATGTATGCAGTTTATCCTATTATTGGAATCATCATCTTCTCTTGCTATTTATTTTTTTTGAAACACACAGTTTTCACATAGATTAACTACAATTTCCCTCATTTATTCTCTGATTTTTTTTTTTTAACTTAGGTGAAGTGTCTGGGAACCACTGACTGACTGAGTTGACATTGACTTACTTCACTTCCTTCCAAGAGTTTTGTACTTTAACCCTCACATAGAAGTCTTTGATTCTTTTGACTTAATTTTCATGTTGCTGTTTTTTACCCACATGAATATCAAATTATGTAAACATCATTTGTTGAAAGGTCCATTACTTCATCACTGGATTTTCTTGGCATCCTTGCAGAGAATCAATTTACTACAAATGACTATAAATGCTACAGGTTTGCTTTTGGACTCAGCTGTATCCTATTGCTTACATTCATGCCAATATCCCACGTCTTACAGACTATAGCTTGTAGTAACATTTGCTTGGGAAATGTGTTTCCTCTGGCCTTCTGCTTTCAGACTCTGCTTATGGAAGGGTTATCTGACTTCCTTCATTTCAGAGAAATTCTACAAGCCATTTATTATTTGTGCAAAAGTCTGGTTTGAATTCTGATGGGGATTATTTAGATCAGTTTGAGGAGCAGCACTGATATCTCAGCAGGATAAATAAAGTCTTTAGATCCAAGAACAGGAGATGCTGTTCTTTTTACCTATTAAGTTTTTAAAATAATATTCTCAAGTTTTAGTGAGAATGTCCTTCACTTCTTTGGTGAAGTTATTGCTAAGTGGTTTATTTATAATGCAGAGCTCTACCAGACCATCAAAGAAGAGCTAACACCATATAATGTGCTCCCCTACATACTCCATACAACATCAACTTCTCTCAGGAAGCCTATGCTACCAGGATGCCCTTCCTTCCTTCCTTCCTTCCTTCCTTCCTTCCTTCCTTCCTTCTTTCCTTTTTTCCTTCCTTCCCTTTTTTGATGTTGAGATAAAAGGGATTGTTTCCTGAATTTCCATTTGCTGCCATCATATAGAAATACAGGTAACTTTTAGAGACTGGTCATAGATCCTTTGACCTTGCCAACTTGCCCATCAGCTTTATTTATGTTTGGTTGGTTCCTTAGAATCTTCTATAATCAAAATCATGTTATCTGCAAATATAGCCAGTTTGGCGGTTTCTACTCTGACTCCACTTTTCCTTTCCTTTCTTGTGTAATTATCCTGGTTTGTGACTCAGGGACAATTTGAAAAGATGTGGTGAAAGCCATCTGCACTTTACTGTCAGCCACATCATGGGGGAAGGATTTAGATTAGAATGTCGTTAAGTATGTGTGAACATATGTGCAGGCATGCACACAAACATGCTGGTATTCAGCTGTTCCCTTGAACTGAAGCATGCCCCTGGCAGGAGAGAGAGGCACATGAGACTCGGGAGTAAACAAAACTTCATGTCTAGGGAAGCAGGAACTTGGAGAGTCTATGCCTGGTCTCTAGCTTTACAGGAATGAACATCTGCTGCAGAGAGGTGTGGTCAGCCAAACTGCCAAGAGAGACTCCTGGACTGTCCAGCTGTCTGCAAGCTGTGCCAAGAGCTCTAGGGCTGCAGATCTATTCGACATCACCTGTGTTGGACTGTTCTGTCTTGCAGTTGCTTTGGAGTCATCCTTATTCCTGCAAGAAACCCTTCATTGGTAGGCCTATTTATTAGTAACCCCCAATAGAAACTCATTGATTCACAAAGTTGGACATAATTACTTTGGACTGTGGTGGATTCCCTTTCTGGGATGAACACATATGTGCATGTATGTCTTCCCAGGAAAAGTCCCTCACATCCATGCATCCATTCAACCATGTATCCATGAATTCATTCATCCATTCACCTTGTGTGTGGTAGGCAAGCCCCTTTCTCCTGAAATTAACACTCAACTAATTTTTTCTAAAAATGAATAACTATTGAGAGACAAAAACAAACAAACAAACAAAACTGCTGCCATCCTTAAGATGGCTGCACTTTCTGGAAGGCAGGGATATAGCACTCTATATTAGAAAGGGAGTTTCACAAGTAATTAAGCTAAGGACATGTGCTGGTTATCTTGCATCATCTAGGTGAATGCAGTCAAATCACAGGACTCTTTAAGAGCAGGCGGGGAGAGATATAGACTCAGAAAAACAGAGAGATGTGACATTGCCTTCCTAGCCTGAAAGATCAGGAGCCATGGAAAAGAGATGACCTCCAGAAGTCAAACAAGGCCAGGCAATGCATTCTTACTCTGAGTCCCCAATGAAGCACAGAGTGCTGGTGGCACCAAGATAACTGTGCTTATTTCTAACAGACAAGACTGAAGCCCAGAAGCCTAGAATTGTTCTAGGTCGATATATTTGTGGAGAAACAGCAGTGACAGAAAACTAACACACATAACAATTGATAAAGATTTCATTTCCAGTGTTTATATATTGATTTATCCAGCAAGTCCGCTAAACCTGTTACAGATTATTTTGCCCTTGATGAGGACAACCTTGGTCACTCCTCACTCTCCTACTTCCAAGCTGCTGTGAAGTAACACACTTTCTTCCAGCAGACTTTCTCCCTCACCCAGCTGGAGGTTGGAACTGTACACCATGCAGAATCCTGCTGAGCTACAGCTTAGAGTGGGAGAGAGCTTGGCCAGCATGTGAAAAGCCCAAGATTCAACTCCCAGTACCTAGAAAAACGCCCCAACAAATAAAACCAACTTTTTTCCTTTATGTTAATCTCTCTGGTATTTTATAAAAGTGGCAGAACTGTAACACAATCATCAATTAATGACAATCACAAAATAAAACAATAAAGATCACATTTAATATTAAAAAAGAATATGTTTCTAAATTACCAATTTAAAGTGGTAAACACCTTTTTTTTTTTCTTTAGCCATTTGAAGTTACACTAATTTTTGCTCTCTGAGAAAAATAGAATGGTTGAGAATAGAATGACAAAGTAATCTTATGCCTTTTGTTAAACCAGGGATATATTATTGTGATAAGTGTGAAAAAGTAAGCATAATTTATAAATGTAACAAAATAGTTGCATGGATTGAATGTTTCTGTCTTAAAGGAAAACAAAGCAGATTAAATGAGCCTACTCACATAGTTCCTCTCTGTCAAGAGACTGTGCACCACCTCCGAATAGGCCTTTAAAGAACCCTCTGTTGGGCGCTTCTGGTGTTTCTACAGGTGTGAAGAGCTCACCCAGCATCTCCTTTAAAATCAAAACCAGTGACACTGTTAAAGCTCCAGGAAAACAGAAATTGAATTAACAAGGTCACTACTGTAAATGCCATGACATGGTAACAATTCCCTTGAGATTCACCAACAATTGATAGGAAAATTCCAAGTGGTCAGTGCAGAAACACACTGACTTACTCTCTAAGACCAGAGTTACTAAGACCAATCTGCTGTTTTCCCTTCCCACATATCATTTGTTAGCATTAGAGTCAAGGCAGCATGTCTGCCTAGAGGGTGAAGAGACGGTCTTAGCATGTTCCAGGCTGGCCTGGAACAGAGGATCTTTTTCTGAGTTCTGGGATTGCACTGTCATGCCCACTCAGTATTTGATTTTCAAGATAACATTTGAATATAATTCAAGAGGAACTGATAATTTGCCCGATAACCAGGTTATCTTCTAATGAAAGAACATTCTCTACCAGAAAGCCAAGGCATTTGGTTTAACAATGGCCATGGCCAGTTCCAGAAATATCATCTTGGGTGGAACAAGACAAATGGTCATTTAGAAAGGTCAATTTCTCCTCATAAACATGTAATTTCCACAAGCATCATTCTGACACATGGGTTTTAGAAACCCACAGGAAGAGGTTAGAGGGGCTTTTACACCGCCAGTCTTGCCTGAAATTACTGTCAGCATTCTTCCAACAGAAGAAAAGGTAAGAGCAAGTTTGGAGACAGGAATAGCTAGCAACAGGGAGTGGCTAGGAACACAGCTAAACAATGACAAACCTATGGTCAACATGATACTAGAGAAAATGCCTCCACTCGTTCCCACTAATACTAGGAACAAGATGTGGCGTCCACCCTCTGTATGCCCCTCACTACAGACCTTGTGGTCTCTGTGGGAACATGAAGACAAGGAGATGAAGGGATGCTCACAGAAAGGAAGACATCTTTTATAGACTTTTAACACAAAATTTTATTGGAAAAAGGCTTTATTAACATTTTAATATAGTTATGACTTGTCTTTCTTATATGGTTCTGTTTAGAAAATTAGAAATTAATACTCTGAAGTTATCAATTTGTGTTTTTATAACAGAACATGAATTTGGGCTGAAGCTAAGAACATAACCCAAGGTAACAAAGAACTTTTCTCCCTTCATTTCCTTTTTAGAAGCTTTATAGTTTGGGGGCTAAAATGTTGCTGACGATTTATTGTGATAGTTGTACTAAACAAATTAAGTAAATCTTAGACAAACATTACATGTTTTTTTTCTCATTTGTAGGTTCTAGATTTTATACTGATCTATAAAACTGTTCATGTATATATGACATGAGAGTAGGAAACCTGTGCAGGGTTCAATCAAAACTAATTGGGGAGCAGGCCGAGAAAAGTAAAGGCAAAGAGGTATGCAGGGGCATGCCCCAAGTATATTACATGCCTACATGAAAACTACCCTATGCAACCCAGTATAATAAAATAATGTGATCAAACATAAACAGAAAAAAAAGGTTCTGAGTTTTCCCACAATGGCTCAGATGTGCATTTCACGAGAAAGGGGGACAAAGATAGTATGAGGACCCCCAGAAAATTCTTAAGCTCTACAGAAGTTCAAATACTGTTGTTGCTCACTTGAAGATTTTCACACGTCTCTTGACTGTAGGTGAGTCTCTGGATTTCTGTAGGTAAAACAAGGTATAATGCTTGTCCATTGTTGGTGAAGCAAAAGGTCCTGGCTATCCGCATGTTGGTAAGGGGCAAGTAGTAGACGTCCAACAGAGGTCTTAAGCTTGGCAAACTTGAGGGAAAGTAAATAATTTGTTAGTAACCATTTGTTAGTAACCGGCAGCGAGTCATTTATATGGTGGGTACAATGTACAATGTTATGTATGAAGACGTGATGGTGAAAACCACTACCCTGAATGCTAGGCTAGAGAATTCATGGGGGAAAAAAGAGAAAAATGGCTGGGGCTGTTCAATCATTTAGTTTATATAGCTGAATGAAAATAAATTCTCAGTGTGTAAGATTATAAACAACTCAGTATTTTTCTCAAGCTGAATCTCATACTGTGACCCAAGTAGGGATGCTGTATGTGTTTACAAACGACCTCATCCTTACCTGAAAGTCATAATATGGCCATTGGCACAGAAGCAGGCAAGGCAGACACTGTTGCTCAGTGCTACAATATCTCCTCGAAGCACGAAGGACGTCTCAGTAATGTTCTGCTTGTACACACAGTTCTGGGTTGGCAGTGAGATGACCTTAGCTTGCTTTTCAGAACATATCACTGCATACTGGGTTTCACTAATTTCCTGAGAAGAGGAGGGGGAGACTGAGACAGGGCGCCGCTTTTTCAGTTTCTCCTTTTCGTCTTTTTCTTCGGGAACGTTGTGCTCTTTCCAGGGTTCAGACGCAGGTGGCATTAAGCAGCCCACGGCATCCAGAAATGCCATTCTCAAGATTGCACCTTTTAACCTCAATATAGTACCTAGAATGTAGAAGTTTAGTATACACTTCCATTTTTAAATTCAGGGCAAAGACGCTCTTTCCAACTCTGACACTAAATACACACAAATATGCTGGATGCATATTGCACTGAATATATAACTGTATCAGGTCATTGATAAAATCAAAACCTCAAGCCATGTCATTTATGAGTCTGCAAAAATATGTCATTACATGCTCCAAACTCAAATGTCAGTAGTTAACAATTTACAATTAAATAATGAAGTTTGAACACACATATCTGGCCTGCAGATTAATAAATGAGTGATATGCAGTTTTCTTTAAATACAGAACTAGAAAAATTATTTTACTTTAAAAAGTTTAAGACTAATTTGTGGACACAGGCACCTGTGGAATTGAGAAGGCAACTTGGGGAGTTGGGTCTCTCCTTCCCTTTGATTTGGAGGCAAGGCTTTCTATGCTCTGTGCTGTACAGTCCAGGCTGGCTGGCCTGAGAGCTCTGGGCCAATTTGTCTTACCTCTTACCTTGACATGGGAGTGCTGGGTTTACAGATGTGTACCACCTGCTCTCAGCTGTTCATGCGAGCTCTGGGGAACTGAATTCAAGTCAGTAGGCTCGAGTGGCAAATGATTTTACTTGCTGAGCCTTTGCCATAGCCCTAGAAAACTTATTTCTTAAACCACAAAACTGCCACTAATACCATTTGTTTTTACAATGCTTAGACCGGTAAATGCTAATTAAGCCAGAACGTGTCCCACACATCTGCATGCACACCAGGGTATACGCACCACTTGGAGACACAATCACTGGCTGAAGGAGTCTTTGCTCAGGTCCTGGGGGAAGGCTCAGTGTGATGATGAACACTGTTCCCAGTGTTGTTCCCACCCACAGACATGGGGAGGGTGAGGAGTCTGCCTTTCTAGTAAAAGTTTCACAGAAATGAAGAGCAGAGATAGCCTCTCGGGACTCCTTGTCAATGCTGGTTACACTTGAACTCCGAGATCTGCTGAAGGAATTATCTTTTACATCTGAAATGATTAAAAAGGTGGGATTGTTTTAGTTATGACATATCACACTTTTCTTTTGTTGTCAAGTTAAATTTGCCCAAAGGAAAATCTATGGCATATGTCCTTTTAAGTGAAAAGAAAAACAATTTACTTTCATGTTAATAAAATTTCCTTTTTGCTTAAATATAAAATACAAATAAATAGTTTTCAGAAGTGAGCAGGGTACTTCTCAAAGAAAACACTGAATGTGTGACCTCTGTTATCATCACCTACCCACTGCTCTCACAGAGCTGTTACCTCCTTGGCATCCTAATTCATGACTAAGTAAAACCAAAAATGTAAAGATCATTTCAAGTATTTACATGTAAAAACTGCATCTAGAAGTGCTTGAAGGGTGAACCACTTCTGTCTTGCAGTCTGTTCACATGAATACCACAAAAACCAATGGGAAATTTCCCTCTCTTCCCTTAAGTATAAACAATATTCATCTAAGAAACATGGCTTCAAAATGTGTAACTGGTATCTGGCTCACTCTTAATGCCAGGCTTATTTCTCTATTCAAGTTTGTCTGTAACAATACAGCTGCTGTATTTTAATTTTTTATTTAATTTTCTGTGCATTGCTGTTTACCCATATGTGTGAGGGTAACGAGATACCTGGAACTAGAGTTATGGATAGTTGTGAGCTGCTGTGTGGGTTCTGGGAATTAAACCCCGGTTCTGTGGAAGAGCAGCCAGTGCTATTATCTGCTGAGCTATCAAAAGCACCTGATAAATCTACTTTAAAATGATACTCATTTTTTTCTTCCACTAATTTCTTGTAGTCAATTCCAACTCCATCTCAAGCCTTGGCCTCATTTCTCTAGGAAATGCATTCCCCAGACACACACTCTGCTTAGTCTCCTGAGAAATCCTATCATTAACAAAGCGTTAAATTCTACTGACGTTGATGCCATTTGGGTTACCTTAACCAACAGGCAACAATCCTGCTTCCATGCTTTCAATTTACCTACACAAGAGTTGGGGTGACAATATTGTTTCCTTTTCTTTTTTTCTGTCACCAATCTAGTTCCATTATTCTAAACTCAGGTTCTCATCTCCATTTATCTAGATTGACTCCACCTTTAGTTTCTCACTGTTAATACACATCAGTTTTCTACAGCACAATTATAATTTAATTACTGTGATTAAAAACTCCCTCAGTAGCTTCTACTTGTCTATTTAATCATGCAGTCTCACTATGATCATCTGGACCCTCTCACCAAACCTCAATGTAATTTGCTGGCTGTGTCTCTGATGTTAAACCTCTTCAGTTTGCCATGGAATCTAAAAGGAGGTTCCTTATTTTTTCCAAAGGTGACCTGCATTTAACTTTTGTGATCCCCTGGTCCTTGCATTCAACCTCTTTGTACCAAGCAACACTGGCCATCTCAGTTAGTTCATCAGCACCCCTAAGTCACAGAGGTCCTCTGCCCTTTGGATCTAAGCTATTGAGCTTTGTTCTCTCCCACAGTTGCGCCAGAACAGCTGTGCTGACAGTGATTTCTGACCTGTCTGATTTTCTGCTCTAAGGTGGCTGTAGTGCAAGGATGGTATCGTTCTGAAGCTCTGCAGATAGGGTTTCACCTGTAAACTTTCTCCAATAAACACTTACAAAAGATGGATCTATAACCAACAGTTTAAGACATTTTGTTCAAGGATGCCATTAGGTATATTAAAATTCCCAGAAATACTTCACTTCTGAAATCATAACTCTTTTTTTCTTTTCTTTTGAATGCCATTAGTAAAAACACAGTAAGGCTTTCTAAGGTAGATTTTAGTAATATAAAAAGGCATAACTCACTCCTTATACTCTCACAAGCTTCCTGCAAACAAGTTTAGGTTCACAAATTGAAAAGATTTCTCCAGTAATTTAATATAACATCATTTTGATGATTGCTAGCCTCTAAACCTTCTAGTAATTTCAACAGTCAGGGCCACATCTAAATGTAGTTTCTAAACATATCTCTCTTTGCTTCAAAAGTCTGCACTTCTATGACAGACCATAGCATGGTGGAAGAGATGACCGCTATGGTATGGAGAAGATGTGAGTGAGATGACTGTGCTGGAAGTCTAGTCCTCAGAATGACCATGCTGACATGACACAACCTTTAAGAGCATGGGCCAGTGGGAGGCTGACATCACCCACAGAGGACGTGCGTGCAGTTCTCAGGGAACCCTAGTCTATTGAATAAAAGGAGGACTGGAGTACAAAGAGTAAGCCTGGCCCCTGCCTCTGCCTCACTTCTGGCCTTGCTACCATGTGACCTGTCCCTCTGACACACTTTCCCACCCTGATGTTATACATTGTAAGATACAGCCAGAAAGCCCTGACCAGAGACAAGCAGATGAGGGTGTCAAGCAAACAAATTTTTAAAATGTGAATTATTAATAAACTCCTTATTAAAGAATTGGGTATTTTGTTACAGCAACAGAAAATAACTGAAGTCCCTCATGTAAATAAAACAACTTTCTATAATCAATAAATACCACATTTCTGAATGAGTTTATAAAAATTACTGACCATAAAAATTTATTAACGCTTTCAAATCTCCAAAGTTGCTTTTTAAAATTAAAAATTAATTTTTTTTCAATGATATTTTATTACTTAAACAATACACCCAAATGACCAAATTTAGTTGTGCCCTAATGATAACAACGGAATATAGTGATACAAGAAAAGTTAGTAATACAAACTTCTGTAAAGTAACACCTGGAAAATGTCATATTTGTTAAAATTATAGGCAATTAACAATAACTTAAATTTTAAATGTTAAAGCTGAGTACACAGTGTATTAATTTAATAGACTGACAACTTCAAAACATTACACTACATAGCAGTTTTACTATATGTATAAAAACTACATCACCAAAGAAACTCTTCAGGCTTCATCAACATCAGAAAAAAAACGACTGAACAACAACTAAGCTCTACCTTGATGGACAGAGGTTGCCTATTTGTCATCTACTTAGAACTGTTTAAAATTAAGTTAGAATTTTCAGTATTTCATGAAATACAACTCTACCTATCTCTCTTAAGTCAGTTGGTATGGGTCTCCGTGGCTTGATTTTTTTAAACAAGTGAGCAAACTAAACAGAAAAGAACAGTTAATTCATACGTTTGTTTCAGACACTGCCTCAGTGTGTATATTAAATTGGTCTCAAATTCTTGATTATCTTCCACCAACTTTTAAAAGCTATGATAAAAGATGTGCACTATTAGACAATGTTTAACAGTTCTAGCATGAAAAACAGAAATGAAAATTGCTGGCGTAAAGCAATGCTTGCCAAACACCAGGTATGATCATAATACTATATATAATCATTTTTGCTGAATCTACACAATCACCTTGAAAAGTATTATCACTTTTTAACTATTAATTAAAGCGGCCCATAAAAGCAGGTTGGGCACATATTGACTAAATTACTTGTATAATTCGCCACATACTATATGTTTTTTAAAAATAGTTGATTGTAATGCATATATGTGTATATATATTCACATATATTACTAGCTTTAACAGTAAATTTTAAATGAGTTTTTGAGCATATGAGAGTTTTAAAGATACGGAAAGACTCACAGTCAGTTTTACTGGCAATATTTAATGTTACTGAATCCATAGCCTCTTCAAATGTGTGATGAAAATCCTGAATCCTCCTCTAGAGCAAACATGCACAATTCAAGTCTAAGAAATGCTTGGGTTCAATTATGAGGTTTTTTTTTTTTTTTTTTTGTTATAAATCTTACTTTTACGGTTTTACATAAATGTTTTTTAATTAAACTTAACTTCGGCCTGCTCTTGGGGTTCTGGCAGGATACACCCTCAGCTGCTGCCACTAAGAACATCACCTGTACATATTTATTATGTTCCCATTTAAAAGGGCCCTGCCCACCTCCTATCCTCCTTTCTCTTTCTTTCTCTCCATCTGTCTGTCTGTTCCCCCTCTCTTTCTCTCTCTGTTCCTCTTTCTTCACTCCTGCTGCTCCTGTCTCTGGAGGCGAGTCTCCCCCTTTCCCCTTTTATGATCCCTTTCCTAATACCCCCCGCTCCGGCCTGAACCTTGCCATATGGCATCTTTCTCTAGCCCACTGCTTTTCTTAAGTTACAATACCTCCATCTATCCCACCCCTCCCCCCATACCCACCACCCTACATCAACATGGCACTCAGATTTTCATTTTTATAATAAAGGATGTTGCTCTTCTGGAAACAGGAGCTAGCTTGTATCTATGGTTAATTTCATTGCCCTTTAAGAGTGGTACTGTGGAATTCTATTAAATTGGGTTTCCAATAGTCAGAACTTTCTACTGATGATAGTTATGTACATAATAGGCCCTTACTAATTACCACATGTTTCCTCTCAGTATAACAGAGGTAAGAGAAATGATATAGAGATGTGCTAAAATTAGTATGTGAAACTGGACCAACACCCAAGTCTGACAAGGACTCTAGTTAGTAACAGTGGGAGGGGAATGAATAGGCAACATCAAGGAAAGCAATGCAGTCATCCCCAAGACAGTACTCAGTGAAAGCATCTTTCATCTCTACTTCTTCAATAAAATAAACAGGCATTTCAGGGAGGAGATTCTAAAGAGAAATGTGGCTTTGCCTGTGTTACATGGTACATGCTATCTTTATTGCAATCCCATTTATCTATGCGAAATACTGGTAGCCATTATGTTGTTACGAGACAGATTAAAGTAAAATGTGTGGATACCTTCCATTGCTTTCATAAGTATTATAAGAGGGTATTCCTAAATTATTATCAGTCAACAATGACAATGCTTAATAAGAAATTTGTTTTATATGAAAAGCTAGTTGTCTATTTCAGAAATATTAAACTAGTATAAAATTAAGTTTGTAGAGTTTAAAACAGTTTTGAATAGATGGGATTTAAATAGTTTTAGTAAAAAATTAACCTGCAATTGAGGAAATTCTACTAAATTTTATTTAGAAAAAAGCAAAAGAGGCAAGGAAATACATATTTTGCTTTGCCCGAGTGTCCATCCTAGATACTATTTCAAAAGATGTTAAATCATGGAGCATCTTGTCATTGTAACAATGACTTTCAGAAAATCTCCACTTTCCTACTGTAAGGTTCAGTTACTTTGGATATTTATTCTACTTACCTAAATCGGGCTTTAGGTCAGTTGGCAAGCTTAATTTCCTTGACATCTTTGCTGAAAAATAAAATATATTTTTAAAACTCTGAGAAATATTTGACTGATATTTATCATAGCAACTGATTTTCAAGATAGAAGTGAATAGTCTTATTACTCAATCTAGATTCGGGGATAATTAAAATATACTTATAATAACATCAGGAGTGGAAAATATGTCTTACTTCCAAATTTTTACAAGTATGTACTTACTTGATGTAATATCTTTGTGTGCTTGAAGTTCTTACTTCAAGTCAGCATGTTAAACTCTTAACTTAAAAGCAATTATTGCTTAGGGCTACAGGAGAAAAGTCATTCCTCAGAAGGACTGTGTTGCAGATGAGGCAACAGTCACAAGAACAAACGAGGGTCTTCAACAAACATCTTCCTAGCTCCTAAGTCCATGTTACTGTACTCCTTTTTTTTTTTTTAAGTTAAATTTTAGAACATAAGTCATGCCTATATCTCTAAACAAATCAGTGTTTATGCAATAAACATATTTGACTGGACTATTATTTGATGTAAATTAATACTTCCATTTCTATTTCAGTGAGAAAAACACAAAGTTATGCATAATCTAGAATCATGGTATTTATATAAAATGTCAGTGTCAGTAGAAATTGAAAAATTGAAAGTTCATCCATAACCTTCATGGAATTTCACTTTCCATCCTCAAAATCAGTTATTGCCTTAGTTTAGGAAGGTGGTTTAAAGTTAGGAGTCAGTTTGCTACATCTATTGTGTTAGTGGTATTGCATGCGGCACAGAGTTGTGCTCCCAGTGTGAAAGTTTGAAAAAAATATTGGTTAATACACAAATGCATATATTTGGTTAAAGTTTGGACGGTTAGGAGATATTTAAAGCACAGACCCTGCTAGTCCATAAGGGCGCCATGTAAACAAAGAGAAATCCAGTCATAGTATATAACTTCCACATCTAAAAAAACGACAAATCCAGTGTTAGGAATAGGCATTAGGTAGACTGGCAAGGGTTTGCAGGAGGGAAGAAGTCATCTTGTTACTTCTTGGCTTGACTAAGCTAATTAGAATATTCTAACAAAACAACAGGCCACATTTATCCATCAGCCGTCTCATCTTCACCAGTTTATTAAATCTGAGACAAGAGATAAAAGGCAATACACAATTAAAGTAGCTGAATATAACCATAGCTGCTGACCTCACATACCTGGGTGCTTTCATATTTGATGAAAAACAGCCTTAGAGTTAGAAGCTATTGTGTCCCCCTGTCTTCTAAATGCAATATTAAGTCAACACTTTCAAAGACTCCACAGAAGTTTTCACCTGATATTGTAGGTCCAATATGGATAGATTGATAAGTAACATGAGAAGCTTGAAATAGCAGAATCAGGCTTACATAGCTCAAAAATAATTTTTAGAAGACTCTTATGTCATCTCTCTGACCCCACTATACTGCTTGGTCAGGGTATTGTGAGCACTAAGACCACTTCTCAAATGTGAATGTGCACATCAATCACTTTTTACTGCATTTGTAGATAGTCTAGTGTTTCCTTCTCCTAAATCTGATAATATTCCTAGGAAAAAGAGGCAAGGCAAGGGATCTTTAAGACAAATTACATAACTTTTGTTTGTTTGCTTTTGTTTTTGGTAGTTTTTTTTTTTTTTTTTTTTTTTTTTTTTTGGGGGGGTTTTTTTTT